AAAAAAATTTAAAGAAAGAAAACTCACTGTAGTCAGGCCATGAAACAAAACGGACAGTCTCTGGGCCACAGACGGGCAGACCCAGGGTCCTGGGGCAGCTCCCCATCGACCACGGCCGGGTTCCTTCCGCTACGACCGCAGGTGATCCCGCTCCTTCTTCCGCAGAAGAAAGAAAGGAAGCAAGAAAAGGAAGAAAACGTCGAATGGCCGCTTCCTACCTGCTTAGACCACTAGTAAAGGCCTCCGGGTCATCTTGGGTACTTGGTTTCATAGTCAAGGACCTGCTCAGGCAAAAAAAAAAAAAAAAGAAGTTCAGGCACAGGAGTTTGGGTGGGCTCCTGAAAGAGTCCTGGATATTGAGCACATAAATGCTGTGGAGGCAGGAACAGACAGTTGGACCCAGCCCTGGTGAGACTACTCCACAGCTTCACCTTCCAGGAGTTCCCTTTAGATGGGCCGAAGCTGAGAAAGCGCAAAGGAGGGCACTGCGTATAGTGAAAAATGCCAAACAATCTCCGTTTGGAAGTGGTTGAAGGAAATGAGCATAGTTAGCCAGGAAAAGATGAAGAAAAACACACTAGGTGTGTCAGACTTGCTGTGTATCTCCCCAGAGGACATTTATTCATTTATTCATTCAACAAATGTTCACTGAGCTCCAGTGATGTGGCAAGCCCCACGCAAGTGTGTGTGCATGGTGCACGTGTGTGTGTGTGTGCAAATGAGAGACAGTCCCTGTCTTCCAGGAGCTTATCACAAAGGGAAGCCGCTGTAATTCCATTTAGTGCTCCTAGAAAAGCATACAGAGGGTGCTAATGAAGCACACAGAAAACAGCGTGGTTTGGTGGTTAGCAATGGGCCCTAGAGCCTGCCTGCCTGCCTTTATTCCCAGTTCTGCCACTTACTGTGTGACCGTGAACAAGTCACTTAACCTCTCTAATCCTCATGTGTAAAATGAGGACACAATAGTACCCAGCCCGCTGGGCTGCTTAGAAGAGGGCAGGGGCACAGTAAGCGTGGAGTGGTAACAGGGCATCTCCAAGGACCCAGCCAGCCGATCGACTCTATGAGGATCAGCATAGGTTTGACATTATGTAATGTTTTACTGTTTGTTAAGTACATAACATTATGTAATGTTTTACTGTTTATTAATTACAGCATAGGTTTTACATTATGTAATGTTTTCCTGTTTGTTAAGTACATACGGATCATTTAATGTTCCCCAAGAACCCTGCGAGGTAACTAAGGAGGATGTGACTTATTCCTTAGTTTCAGAGATGCTGTGTGACTTTATCATGGCCAAATGGCTATTTAATAGTCAAACTCAGGACTTCAGCTCCAGTGCACTGGATAAGCCAGTCTCCCTAATTTCCTTCTCAGTAGGAACCAGGTCAGTGGCGGCACTTAGTTGAAGGAGCAGCTACGAATGGGAGGGTGAGAAGAGGGAACAAGAGGGAGGAAGGTCAGTCTTTTTCAGACACAGTTACACACTTTTCTGAAGTATTAGTGGCCAAGATAAGGGGCTCGTGCCCCAAAATATCCAAATCATCACAGAGCTGACAATTTCCCAGGGCAGAGGAAGTCACAGCTCCTTAAACCTCCAGCACCTGCCACAGTTCCTGCTCCAGCGAAGGCGCTCAAAAATGTTAACTGAATTTAGAAACAGTGTTACTAGTACTATTTCCAGAACACCATGAGTTAATTGGACTTCTGAGGACTCCAAGGACCTTACCCTGATCTTAACACAGGTTCTGCATGGGAGAAATGTTCTATTCCAAGATCTATTCAACAGAGAGATCCTTGTATTTCCCACCACCTCAGTGTAAGGTGGGGGCTGCCTTATTTCTGTTCTTGCTATTTTGCTCTTTTTCTTGCTCTAAAAAAACCTGTCAGAGCCAGCAAAAGGGTGTGGGACCTGGGAACAAGGCCCAGTGGGTGAGGGAACATGTTGACTTCAGAATTCCAAACTCCACCCCTAATCCTCCAGACTCCAGTTTCCTGTCAAACTCCTTCCCCCGGTCTCTTCCTGGGCATGAGCCCCACTCACAGTACCTTTTCCCTCCACGTTCAGGTGCTCGCCTGCCCCTTGCTGGCTGGACTCCTCTGCATTTGAGTTCCCCTCTACACTCATGCTTCACACACTTTCACATCTACCATCAGACCAAATGGCTCCAAATCAAGGATAGTGCCTCAAGGGCCTCATGAGGCAACAAATCTTCTGTTGTTTTTAAGACAAATATTCTTAGGTTTGAAAATTTCCACGTTCTGGCACTATTTAGCAGAGTGGACTTGAACAGATCTGATTTTCTAAGCTCCCTTTTCTTCATCCGGAATTGAAACCTATGTCAGAGGGTTATCAAGGGTCAAATGAGGTAATGCATTTCTATGAATTGAACTGTGTCTTCCCAAAATTCATATGTGGAAGCCCTACCCCCACCCAATGTGATGGTATTTGGATATAGGGCTTTGGGTAGATAATTAGGTTCAGATGAGATCATGAGGGTGGGGTCCTCAGGATGGGGTTAGTGCCCTTATAAGAGACCAGAGAGTTTGCCCTCCCCACCACCCTCCTCTTGGTGTAAGGACACAGGAAGGAGACTGCCACCTGCAAGCCATAAGCTGGCCCTCACCGGGAACCAAATGAGACAACACTCTGATCTGACTTTCAGTCTCCAGAACTGTGAGAAATAAATTTCTGTTGTTTAAGCCACCCATTCTATGGTATTTTGTTATGGCAGCGTGGCTGACTAAGACAGCATGTAAACATCATTTTTTCACGCATTCACTCACTAAATACGTACGCATTGAATTGTTCCCAAGTACCATATTCTGTGCCAGCAACTAGGGTTTAGCAATAAGGCAGAAAACAAGACACAGTCCCTGCCTTCATGAAACATAAAGTCCAGTGGGGAGGGCTAACCGATCATTATAAACATAATTAACTTAGAATTATGATCAGTTTTGTAGAGAAGTACAAAGGACCATCACAGCCATTAATCTAACTCACTCTGGGAACTCTGGAGTTCTTTTCTGGAGAAATAACATGTAAGTTGATGAACTACGCAAAAGTATGAGCATGGGGAAATAGAAGAGATGTGAAAGTTCCAGGCACTGGGAATAGCATGTTTGTCTTAGTTTGTTTGGGCTGCTGTAACAGAATACCATAGACTGAGTGGCTTATAAACAACAGAAATTTATTTCTCCACCTTCATGACCTAATCATTTACCGAAGCCCCCACCTCCTAATACCATCACATTGGAGGTTAAGATTTCATCATACGAATTTTGGAGGAACATAAACATTTAGTCTATAGCAATGTTTAAAGACCCTGAGGGATAAAGGAGCATGGCCCAAATCAGGTCAAACCAAAGCCAGTGTGGTTGAACCCTAGTAAGGAAGACAGAGTCAAATTGAGCTGGGGCCAAAGAAGGTGACAGAAACTTGAAGGCCTTGGTAAGGAATCTGAAGTTTATCCTAAAAGTAAGGGAGATGGCTTCACTGAGGATGTGAAGCCAGGCATAGCTTCAGAGGTACATTTTAAAACCCCAAGTGGAATAGTGCAACCTGCCCAGCATGCACCCCCCACTCTGAAAGCAGCACACATGCCCCCTCCCCAGAGGATTTGTGGTAAATCATATCTCCCCCACTCTCAGTATGTGTGATTGGGTTAAGCTGACCACATTCTCAATCCCAAGATGGGCAAAAAGCCAAAGGCTGGAAATCAGAGAGCATGGAACACCCTGGGACACAGTGACTGGTGTGAATGGATACATGATTCAGACAGAGATTCGATACCAGGACTTCTAATAGAACTATTGGGAAGAAGGGGAAATCTGTTTTTCTATGGATCAACTAGGAGCTATTGTTGCCCTCCTAATGGTAGAAACTGCCTGAGAATGATGCCAACACTGAGGAAGACAAGGCCAAGGGATAAAGCAAACATGATTTTGTCCTGATGACCACGTTTGAGTCCCCTAGGTCAGCTACACCTAAAGACCCCCCAGGTTTGTAGGAGAGAGAATGGATTCAGTCTGTGGAATGTGAGACACCAACGGGAGTTGCCCAATAGAACATAGATAGATAGACATATAGATAGATAGATGACAGATGATAGAGATAGA